CTGGCACCCCCCTGGCAGGGAGCTGGTCGTGCGCGGCGTCCGGCGCCACTGGCACAGGTGAAAGTTTAAGCCGCCGCGCACGGCCAGCTCCCTGTGGGGGGGGGGGCGAGCAGGGCTTCCGACACCCCCCTGGCAGGGAGCTGGTCGTGCGCGGCGGCTGGCGCCACACAGGTAGAAGTTTAAGCTGCCGCGAGCGCAGGACCAGCTCTGGCGGGGAGGGTGTCAAGCAGGGCTGCCGACACCCTCCTGGCAGGGAGCTGGTCGTGCGCGGCGTCGGACACGCCCGCAGTTGGACTGAAGTGACTGGAGAGCTTTTCTGAACGAGCACTTTGGAAGCACCGGAGCACCGACTGTATTTAAGTTGCTCTAGATGCATCATATCTTTGTAGCAATCCCGATCAGTGGCGGCACCGCACACGTTTCTAGGAACGCATAAAACATTCTTTGTTACACATGCAGGTACGTTGAAGAAAACGCATACGTGGATCTTCTTCGGCACAGTCCTGTTTCCATACGCTGTCCGAAACTTGCTCGAAGAGGAGCCGCGGCTCACGCTCATCCGGCTTTCGAGCGTCATGCTCAAGTTGACCACCCAGGACGTCCGCAAAGAGACTGAAGCAGCGCTGTTGCTGGAGACAATAGAAGCGCTTTGCCTTTTCCACCGAGATCTGCCGGAGAGCGAGCAAGTGATCACGGTGCACATCTTGCAGCATCTCTGCGAGCAGCGAACCGAAGGGGCAGGCCCAATGTCTGCCCTAGACATGTTTGCTCCCGAGCGCTGGCACAATTGGCTAACCGGACTTAGGTTCAGCAGCAAGGCCCCAGAAGCCAGCATAGCTCAGCGATATAGCATTGAGCAAACGCTTGCTCTTGCGGAGTCGGTTTTAGCGAACTTGAAACTAGATCCCGCCACGAGCGTGCCTGACGACAGCCTCAAAAAGCAGAGCTATAGGCTTCATGGCCAGCCTCGAATCGTTGCGGTTCGCAACGAGGAGCTGACTGCTATTGACAAGCTCAATCAGCTTGAATCTGCAGAGTATGCCGCGCTGCAGATGGAATTCAGCGCAGCAAGTCAGGCCTTCAAAAGCGCTCGCCAGTCTTTTAGGAAGCATCACACGGTAGCAGCTTCTCCCGAGTACCCCAATCACCTACAGAGCTTTCCGGATAACCTTCTAGACTGGTTAACGGAGAAGAAGGGCAACGACGACATCAGCCCCGAGCTGCTGAGCCTAGTAAAAGGCCCTTCTGCTTTTGCAGAAAAGTTTGAGCACCTGAGTTTCCCTAGCTGCCATTTTAGATCCAAAAGACTGGACGAGCTGTCCAAGGCAACGCAAGACAGCGGCATAAAAGCTCGTCTTTCTATTCGCCGTCTGCAAGACGGCTCGCTTCAGCGGCTTCAGTACTTTGGCCACATGCTGTACGTTCTGAGAGTGCGGGTTGGCGACACATTCCGTGACTACATGCGCGCAGCCTGGTACCGCAAGCCGCAGCAGGACGAGCTCCATGGCCTCTGGACCGTCAAGAAAGATGGGCTGATTGGTGACAAGTGGCGCCCTTTTGTGCGGATGCAGGACGTAGAGGGTCAGGTGTTCTACGGGGACGACCCCCTCGAGCGCTCCGTCCGGATCGTTCTTGAGAAACAGCCCCGAGCAGGTCGGAGTTTCTGCACTGAAGCAGGTGATGAGGGCGACCTGGCAGCCGCCGCCGCGGAAGCTGGCGGCACTTCCTCTTGTCTCGAGCGAAGAGAAGTCGAAGAAGGGCGGGGAAAATGTACGGACGATGCGGGAAGTGGAAGCGTAGCAGAGCCCGGGGGGGAGGATGAGGGGAAGAGGGAAAGCAAGAGAAGGGACATGTCTCTAGGTGAAGACAACCCACAGCAACAGGCGGAGATGCAAGAACGGTCTGAAGAGAGCATAGAAAAGGAAGAGGGGCCAGAGGCAAGCGCATCTGGGTTCGGAAGTGGGGACGCGCCACCTACTCGAGAAGAGATGGGCACGGGGTCAGAGAGCGACGGGGAAAGAGCGGGGCCTCTTGCAATTCCGGTCCATCTGCTGCAAGCTTTGCACCTCGAGAAGCCTTGCAAGTCAACCCTCCCTTTTGGCTTAACCGAGTGTCTAAACTGGATCAACGATGAAGAGGCGGACGGAAACAAGCTGTTGGCTCAGCGTCGAGCTGGCGGCAGTCGGAGTGGGGCCAGCCTGGACGTGCGGAGAGAGGACCTGAAGCGGTTTGCCGGCAACAACCTCCTCAACGATGTGGTGAGAATTTTCTCATGGGACTGAGGTCAACACGGTCGATAACATCAGGCTTTTACCAAATACTCGTGCTTCTTCCAATCTCATAATTGTAGGAAAACTAGTGACGTCAGTGACGTCACCTCTGCGGGCTGCCCTTCGATTCGGAGCTTTTGCAAGCTGGCAGTAGGCTACTCTTTACCGAAGTCTTTTCCAAGTTCCAGGTTTTGTTCCAGTTGCGCGTGTCCAATCAGAGCCTCCAAACTCGCCTCCAAAAAGGAGGTCAGTGCGGTTCCTAGTAGGCCCTATGCGTCCGGCGTTGTTTATGAAACCCTCTTTCGTTTAAGGAAATGGCTGATTGCTCCGGCTTCGCGGCCGCACACGCGCTCGTGGCGGCCCCGTGAACTTGAGGCCAACGTTTAAACACATTTGCTTTATTTATGACTTTCTGGCCTTTCTGACTGAGCCTGCCGCCGTGCATTGCCTAAGCAATCGTTTCTAAGCACCCGTTCAAAAAAGTGTTGCAGGTTACGAATCACAAAGGCGTTCTCACACCGCGTACATCTTTGCCATCAGATAACACTGCATCACTGCTTCTGCTTTTGAACTTCTCAGAACGTTTCTGCAGTTGGTCGATGCGAAGCAATCAGGTCTACTGTCAAGCTGAAGGAGCAAGCAGTGCACAGTTGGATCGGCTGTCGTATGAGAGACTCGTTAAGTGTCCCGCTTTTGTGGTTGGGCCGGTACCCAATGAACGGCAAAGCCTTCCGTGACGCGTTCTTTTATTGAAACCTAAAAACAACTTACAATTCACAGGACATGGATGCCATGACGGGCCTAATCGCCGCAGAAGCGGAGCGCCAAGGCCTCGACGCGTGCTTCTTTTCGAGCCTGTTCTACGTCAAGCTTTCGGCAGAAGGGGTCAGCCGGTCCTTGCTGCGGTGGATCTCGAGGCAGGCCCTCCAGCCGCGCGCGCGCAACGGTTTCTTTGTGGTCAATGTTAACCAGAACCACTGGATCGCGTTTCATGCACTACCAACCGCTCAAAGGCCGGCGCTCATGGTTTACGACTCTTCGAAGAGTCCCGCGGGACCTGACCCGGTAATCATTCAGGTAATTTTCATCCGGCAATTGATATGAAACCTGCCAGCAAGAATTGTTTCGTTGTTTACCGCTTGAGTCTGACTTGCTTGTTGCCTCGTGTGTAAGAGTCGAGGAGACGCTCGACGCTTTTTCCGTTCTGGACTTAGCTACGCCTGCCGTGATTCGAAACCAAGACTGCTTTCGTTGGCAAGCTCTGACCTTTTGACAAGAAGCAAGGGGACATAGAACACGTTCGATTTCCCTGGGTTGATTGGCAGCCCCGCTGTTCCTCGTTGGTTTCTTTTGAAGAGGACGGAAATTGAAAACTCTCCGGCGAACGTGCGCCCATTCACGTCCCATGGCGGGAGTCGAAGCAAAAGGGAAAGCGAGACACTTTCGAAAGTATTCTGGTGCTACTTTTGCTCGGAACAGGACGAAAGCAACAAAGAGAATCTTTACTTTGCAGAACATCAAGCAACTTCACGAGGCGGTTCTGCAAGTGGATCCGGGCGACTGGGAAGTGACGGTTAAGGACTGCTCGCAACAGGTGCGTTAGGTGCTCCCATATTGCCTTGCGATCGACCTGGCCAGCACCACATCTGAACACGCTGATGGATCCAAACCTAACGTCATGTCTAAAGTGCTTGCGTGATCAGAGCGCGGTAGGCACGACGCGCATTGGAAGCCGATCCCAGGAAGCTTTGCGGGTTTACTTTGCTTCTTATCGCTTCATCTACGTGGACAATAACCCGCCGTTCGGAACGGTCGTATGGCGCGCAAAGTACCTTATGCCTTGATTAGCCGGTCAAGGTGTCAATTCTGCATGGGTGCCAGATGTCCAGGATTGACCGAGGCGACTCGTTTACTTTGTCAGGACCGGAAGTCTGCTGTTACTGGGCCTACTGAGCAAGTCGAAATCGAGGTCCTGCCTCAAATCACCGAGATAATCATCACGAACCCTCTCGTGTGTGATCGACCGCTGTATTAATTTTGACACACTTTGAAGGCTTGCTGATCAGATGAGCTCTCTCTGCCGTGCAGGGCGCAGACAGCATGGATTGCGGCATCTACTGCCTGCACTTTATGAGGTGCCTCGCTTTGGGGCAGCAAGACATGATGCGGTTGTCGAGAAGGAAGGTTCATTTCTTGAGGAAAGTCATGCCTTTGGAGATTGTGCGGGGCCAGCTTTACATGTAACGGCAGAAACTTTGGGGCAATAATGATTGGCCTGATTGGTTTGTCACTTCTCCTAGCCTTGTTTACAAACGACGGCGTTTCTAAGGGCCCGACCAATTGCTAGGGCGCTTACCAGAACGCTTAGATCCTTGAGAGCAGAGTGAAGGGCTTGAGATTATTTGGCATGCTGTTTGACGGAAGTTAAGGTCAAGGAAGTGTATTCAAAACACGTTCGCATTCAAGTCCGGTCCCTTACAAGAGGCTCGTCAAGTGGGCCGTTGTGACCGTTGGTGGGTGTTGCGGCTTATAGTCATTTTCTGTTCACATGATTCTGTTCAACATGCCAGAACGCTAGAATGCCGTGGAGTCCAAACTGATCCGCGCGCTGCACGACAAACATATGATAACTATTATGTACAATTGGTCCTTTAGCAAAGAGCGCCGCCTCTTGTTGCTTTGAGATCATCGCACTTTTGACCGCGTGGGCTGCAGTGCGCTATCTATGCCTTGATGCAATCGTCTACAAATGATCTCTTGGACTAGAGCTCCAGCAGCATGTGCTTGCGCCCCATCTTAGCTAGGCTAAAGCCGTTCTAGTATGTTCAGCCTACAACGTTCAAACGTTCTAACAAAGTGCGTCCGTGTTTTAGTATCCTTCTAGTCCGTTCTAGTAATGTTTGAGTATGTTCTAGAAAGGTTCTAGTCTGTTCTAGGTACGGCAAAGATGTCGATACCGGTTCTAGGCCGTTCTCAACTAGAACCTTACTAGCACGCAGCGTTCTAGTCAGAAGCGTCCTAGAACACCCCTGTTCTAGTGCGGTACCTGACTAGAACGGCTTACTAGAACAGCCCCCCTGTTTATAGTGACCAGTGGTTAAACCGAGGGAGGCAAAAAGACTCTGCTCACCTACGGAAAAGAGGCCCACTAACCGGCCCTGTTTTCTTATCCCTAGGGCACGGAAGTCCTTTTCGACGAGAGCATCGAGTACGACCTGACCAAGCTGGACGGCGGGGCTCCCGCGCCCGGCGTTTCCCCCATCAACCCGGATAACCTCCCCCGCGACCCCAAGCAGGGCTGCAAGCCCGTGTTCCCCAACGAGCTGGTCCGAGTTAACACTATCTTCGAGGTGAGGTCCAAGTCCGTGCTTTCCTTGGATGAAGTGTGAATCATAATTCGTGTCTATCAAGAGAGCCACGCTTGCTGCGTTTGCGTGGCGAAGAGTCTGCGGCGCAATTTGACTTTCAAGCGCGGGCGGAATGTGCAGGGACTGCGTTTCAACTCTTGTGGTGCTCGTAGCAAGCTCCAGCAGAATCGATGGGCTGGAACGGGACTCCAGTATGTACACAAGTACTCTAAATAGGGTTCGAAAGCTAAGCTACTGGTTCCTAAGCTTCCGGTTTCCGGCTATGCTGTGTGACACGATCCCGCACTTTTCACATAGGCAGTGCCGCCACAGCACCTCTTGACACCGACTCCATGCTCCCTGATTTCCACGTCCTCGAGTCCTACTCCAGAGCAGCTCTACGAAGCAGCCAGTCGATTCAGTCGTTCCAAGGGTTCTGGGTTCAAAACACAAACATCCCTGGGAATCCGCTCTTACAGGTCGCTGCTCAGTCCGGGCTCTACACCGCTTTTGCGGACAAGCACATCGGCGCGTACACCATCGCCAAGGGCCCGTCGGGCACCGGGGTGTCCGACTACGCGTCTCTCGAGGTCGCCACCACAGAGCCCCAGTACACCGACGCCAACGGCTTGGCCGACGGCCTGGTGGGCGACAACGGGGTGCCCATCTACGACTCCCTCAAGGTAACGGTGGTTGGCTGTGAAACGTCTCACAAGACCCAAATATTGACCGTTCCTCCCAGTTCAGGAACTTGCCCCGTATTGATCGTGTGTGACTGTTTCGACCTCGCAGAACATTGGAAGGCACGACGGGAGGATTTGCACCTTCAGAAGCTCAGTTTCCAACTGTGCGGGTCTCCAACCTCGTTATCAATACGAGACGCGGCAGCAAAATGGACTGAAATGTCTGGAACAGGATGATGATCACGTTGAGGGATCCGAAGCATCAGAGTCCCTGTCAAAAACCTATAGATTGACAGGACTTGTAAGCGTGTTTTGTCGTAGCGAATTATTACCAGTCGCTGACTCTCAGTACATTCGCTGCCTCAGGTCGCTCAGGCAATCAACTGGATTGACGGCTTCGACCATACCCGCACCCAGTTCAACGGCAAGGCCCCCGCTATCATGTACTACAACTACCAGGTAACGAGCGGACTTCACCGTGAAAGCAGCGTTTTTCAACAGTCACGAAAACATGGACAGGAGCGGTTCCGTCCCAAATGGATCATGAGGTGTTCGAAGGTTTTCCTTACGCTTGTCCCTGCACAATTTCCTTCGCGATTCTCGGCACATGTCGACAATTGCCAGCTGGTCTAGTCTTCCAGTGCTATGGGCTCGGTGAGCTGTAAACCATTCTTTCTGGAGTCCAACCTTCTCTGGACACAAGTGCCTCTTGTCACACGAAAATGCTTGATCAAGAGCATGTCGAAACGTAAATTTGTAATCTCAACACAGAGCCCTCGGCTCCCCAGCCTGATGTTTTTTCTGAGAGCTCCATAAGCATTGGTTCTTTGTGCTTTGACGCACGAGAGCGTGGCAGAGTATCCCGGACCCTCGCCACTGTTTCCAAGCGATTCAAAGTTTCAAGAGATGCTCAGTTGCCAAAGAGAGATAAACCAGCAATAACGAGGAATGTTGGCCGTCAACTCAGGTGGTGAGCGTCAACCAGAAGCTGGCGGGTCAGGGCTACGTCAACAACCTTCCCCCTCCTGCGGGCCCAGTTCCGACCGAGTATGTCCGGCAGGCCATCGCGTATGCGGATAGCTCCATCGGCCAGCTCATTGCCGAGCTCGAGAAGAACCAGATCCTGGGACAGACCGTGAGGGCCGCACAACCGGACTCATTCTAAGAAATCAGCCAATGCTCTTACTTCTTTCGAACGGACCGTGAACTTGCTACCTGCCCAGACCGACGGTGTTACTTCCACTCACGTTTCTAATCATCTCAAACGGTCGTCATAAGTAATTCCGCCACAAGTGCTTTTGCTGACACGGCTGGAGTGTTTGTGCTCTGCCGCATTGCCGCGGGTGACGAAAGTTTCTGTCATCTGACGAAGCAACCACAATATGTTGGGACCAAAGACTTCCTGGCAGCCCACTCGGCTTGCGGGCTCTGTGAATTCGCGCAACCGTCGAAGCCGCGCTTCACGTGACCAAATCCGGCCGTCCATTTGAGAAGGTTGACAAATGGACGGCGCGGAGCTCAGTGCATGGCTCCAAGCAGGGGCTTTCTAGCCTCTCCTCTCACACCTTGCTGACGCTGTCTCTTCTCCCCCCAGGTGCTGATCGTGACGGCCAAGCACGGGCAGTCGCCCATCGACCCGAGCCTGCTGAAGAAGCTGAAGCCCAGCGTGGTGACGGACGCCATTGCCGGTTTCTTGAACGACACCAGCGAGCCGGCACAGCTGAGCGGCGACGACTCGCTCCTCATCTGGCTCCACAACACCGCCAAGGGCCCCGCGCTCCGGGACTACCTGAACGCCAACAAGGTAGGCTCCGGCAGTGTCAACAGCGTTTGTGTTCTGGTGTGATCTTCTTGCTTTCCAATGTGGTTGGTTTATCAGAGTGAATCGACCTTTCTTCTGAAACGAATCGATGAACAGAGCCGGTGCTTTTCAAGGGGTTTTTGCTCGGAGACTCTCGGGCTTTGGGAAGTCGAAGCTGGATGTAGAGGGAAGGCTGCATTTTTCGAGCCGAAGGGTCGAGGACGTAAGTGAGGGCAGCGGGGCAAAGCCGACATTGTTGCTTGTTTCAGAGGGCGTTCTTGAGGGCGACAAAGCAAGGATTTCAAAAACCTCCACCGTCAAATGACCTGCATTTCTTGGCGCTCAAGGAGCGCCTGCCAGGCTAAATCTCCTGAAGCAATTCGATCCCCGCTCCTTTGGGCGCGTATGGCCATCGCCCAAGCCCGTTGACTCCTTCGACTCTCCCAGTTTGCCGAAAAAACAAACGACCTCGTCGGCACTAACCTGCACATAAGTCAAAGAAGGCAGACCTGCCTTTGACCGAGGTTCGTCGGGCGTTGTCTTTGGAGGCTTGACCCAGAGGAAACGAGGACCTTCTGCCCCCGGGGAATGAGGTCGATGTGGAGCTTCTTTGAGTCGCTTCGCTTGCGCTAGCCTGACTCCCTCCCGCGGCTGCCCGCCCCGTGTGCAGGCCAAGTTCCTGATCGACCAGTGGTACCACTACAGTGACCTGGGCCTGGCTCTCAACGACTACGTGCCGGACATCCAGTGCAAGTCCGTCAAGGGCACCATCTACACCGGCGGCTCCAAGATCGAGGAGCACGGCGGCTACGCGTGAGCAGAAGCATCACCAATCAGCTTTGGTGGATTGCAGACATGTTGCCTCAGCAACCGAATTTGTTCCTCTTGAAGCCGACTCGGCAACTTTCAGGGTGCTTATCTTCCACCGTTCCGCTCTTCCTCGTTTTGTTTTTGGTCCTCAATGCGCTCAACGCGTCCTTGCAGTGATGACGACACGCACGTGCCCATCTTCGTGGCCAACAAGTACCTCACCGCCAACACCGACTTTTCTCTGATCGCCACGAAGCAGGTGAGAAGAGGGAAAGAGGCGCAGAATGGAGCCCGCTTCTGTACCTCAAGGAGGAGTCCTTGAACCCGCTTCTGCACCTTGGGGAGTTGTCGGTTCGACGGCTATGTCTATTCTTTCTGTCGGATTCCGTGCCTTTGGTTATAGCAAACGCGTTGTGCGGGCTGCAGTCCGTGTCTTTCAAGCGGCTCCTTATGGAAGCGCAATGAACGTTGACAATACACACGTTGGATTAAGTGGTTGATTGAAGTGCCTGCCACAATTCGATGAGAATTCACAATCTCTGGTGGGCGAACTCTAATTCCTTGTGTCAATCGCGTTCTGGAAACTTAATCGTGAACTGATGAAAGCTTGCCAGCTGGCTCTGCCGGATTATTGTGGGCTGACACCCACAGCCAGTGTCAAGTTGGAACTGCTTCAATAAGGGCACCTGTCCAGCCGTTCCTCGGCGCAGCTGTTAGGAGACGGAGCAATCGCTAAGACCCGTTTGTTTGTTTGTTTCTATTGCAGATTGCGCCGACTACGTTGACCCTGCTGGGTCTCGACTACACCAAGCTGCAGGCCGTGGGCATCGAGGGCACTCAACTGCTGCCCAACACCGAGCTGTACTAGAGGCGGCAACTAGGAGCCGCAAAACACTCGAGACAACTTCACAGAGATTAGAAAATTAGTAGGAAATTTTGGTGCGGATGCAAGTTGAAACCGGTCTGCAACAAGGCGCGTCAGATCGAAGCCTACAAGAAACAGTCAAATTTTGAGATTACTCCGTTGAATTATGAGGAATGTGTTAATCATTGCGGAAATATTGGATATTAAAAATCTACATTTGATTTTTGTAGACATCCATCCCTTCTGAAAAGAGCGATAGGAATATCCGTTTCAGACAAGCATGACTTCGATAACAAACTTGAAGGACGACCATCCATGCCCAGCACGAAGTTAGACCTTTGACGAATTGGATGAAATCGCACCGTTCATGGAGACTCACTCGAGTCTTTGCCACAGTCCATAATCAAGCTTGGAAGCCTTCGATCACCCGCCTTCGACTTTGAGGCGGACGGCCACACAGCTCGCTGCTCTCAACGTTGTGCCCGGATTTCGGATCTTCGGGCTCTCCGACCGGGTCTGTCCGTTTCAGGACATGACGTCTTTGCCAACATGCCTTCACTGATCAGTGGAGCATAAAGCATAAAAGCTATTACCGATAACAACTGGGTTTGCATTGCAAGCGTCTCGACTTATTATTGGGCAGTGGCCTGGTGTCGTAGAGTTCGTAGTTAGTAGGTGTTTGAATCATCTTGGCGGATTTGCAACCTTCCTGTTAACGTAGCTGTGGTCTTTTGATAGCCGTCCGATGAGCTTCCAACAACTTGGACGTCGCATACTCACTGTTAGACCGCGCGACGACACAGGCGCTGTCATCGACGGTCGAGAGTTGCCACTGACCTTGAACTTCAGTTTTCCACCTCAAGCAAGAAGTCATCACACTAGTTTTGATCATCCACCACAATCCCTGGGCTGGCAGACGATGCATTGCTTCTGTTTTGAATAGGGCGCCATCGCATTTCAGCTTTCTCACCAGGTCACTAGCATTTCCTCAATTGTGTTTCTGAACGAGCCCGTGCTTGCATCACAACGCTCCCCGATAGAGGAAGGTGTTTGGCACACAGACTTGAGGGAGCATTGGCCGAAGTTTCATTGCAGGCGCTCCGTCTTTTATAGAGGATGGCGGTCGCGAAGCGGCTCTTGCTGCAGTTGCACGTTGTCATCGCTGTTGCATTTCTCCTGGATGGTGCTGCGGGTCTGAGAATGGCAATCATGCGGACAGAGTGCCTGACAGAGGAGGTGGCAAATGAGGGGGACATTGTGACTGGGTCGTTTGTTGTCCTGGACCATCAGAGCGCATGGGCGGAGCAGCACCCGGGGATGGACTTGGGGGTGCGTTCCTTGCAAGTGTTCTTCTCTTGTAGAGAGAGGGAAATTGGAGCTGTCGAATGTGTGAATCAATCCACAGAGCCTCTTTTGCGAAAGTGGTGAACCAGCTGGGCAACTTAACGATGTAACAGAGGGAAGGTTTATGGTATGTGTAGTCTTTCTCCCTGCGAGGCAGATGATCGCAGAGAAGGCCTATGCTTCGCGGCGGGAAGTCTCACAGCAATGGATAGATAGATCAACAGCATTTGGATCTTACCCCTCCTGCGGGAGTGTCAGTTGCAAGCCCAGTTCCAACAGATTCATGGTCCTCAGTTCTGCAAGAGTGACATACAGTTGGTGACAATTGTTTGGTTCAGCGGGACTTGAAGGATTTGTTGGATGATGTGCCCAATTTGCCTTTGGTGTTGGGGCAAAATATGAGTTTTCCCTCTTGAAAGACTTTGTCTTGACCCTGATAGTCCACTCTTCGTGCCAGGATTGTGTTTGTCCAAAATTGGTTTGTCATATACTGTAAAAGGATGTATAAGAAATCGAAGTTAAGGTCTCTTGGGGGTGATGTCATCGCAGGATTACACACCTTCCACTTCTGAGAACTAAAGCACAACTTTTGCCGACAAGCCGCCACCCCCTCAACCACCACTTCACAATCAACTTTTGTTGTGCAGGTGACCGGTCCTGGCAACAACCACGTGTACAGTACGCGCTGGAAGGTGGAGGACAAGTTCAGCTTCCGCGCGCTCAAGCCGGGGCCCTACAAGTTCTGCTTTACCAACCACGCTCCTGCCCCCAAGTCAGTCATCTTCCAGGTGCACGTCGGCCACACGATCTCGCCAGAGGAGATCGCTAAAGCAGGTCAGTGTTGAAAAGGCTCTAAATGAAAGGCTTCGTATTCTCTGCTCTGGCATCTAGCCCTCGTGTCCTGGAGAGCAATTTTTTGGTCGCGTGAGGCAGCATGAGGTGATTGTGTAGTAAGAATTGTCCAAGGGCGTGGCCACACTGTGACATTCTGACAGGATCTTGTCGATTGCTTTTGTTTGATAATCTTTCTTGGACCTGGGGATCCCCTTCTGGAAGTATCGGAGGGGATATTGATCAGTCAAGCCATGCGGTTGTAAGGTCATGATCCAAATGAAGCTTTGAGTCTGCGGTAGTCAGAATTGATGCCACAAGCTTGTGAGTGCCTCAACCCAAGCCTCACCCCTTTTGAGTTGCCTTCTCCAATCATTGGCCAATGACCCCTGCAGCAGGCTGGACCCTTTGCAACAAATCTGCTCGGAAACGCCCAACTGGCATGAGGCTCTTTGGGCTGCGCCTTCGGTCTTCAACAATTGACCTCTTTCGCAGACCCACAAAGGTCCGACTTCGACAACCTTGTGGAGTACTCATCAGGTCCCTCTTCTTCTGCAGAGCACTTTGACCCGCTGGCGCTCCAGATCGGCAAGGTGTCGGAGGCGCTCGCGCTGGTGGTGCAGGAGCAGGCCTACTTGCGGGCCAGGGAGGAGCGGCACAGGATAAGTGAGCACGTCCACACTCATTCGAAGATTTAAACGGGCTCAATGACCGCTTCCATCAGCCATTATGTCCATTTGAGCAGTTCCATCAACTGCATGCTCATATACGTCAACAAATCTAATATGCCTCAAAGGCCGGTGACGGAGCTTAATACGAATGGGGCGGGGACTTAGCGACAGAAGGACCCGTCCAAAAGCTCAAGGACCTTTCTCACACCGTTCCTGGGATATGCAGCTAATGAGAGCACCAGTAGGCGGGTGGTGTTTTACTCCTTTATCGAGACGGCAGGGATTGTCACGGCAAGTCTTCTGCAGGTGAGCACAGAGCAGCCTCTTTCTGTCGCTGATAAAATCACATGGTATACTCATTTCTTGGAACTTTTCCGACGGAGTGTATGCATATCTGGCAATCAGGAATGCCTCTCGAAACACTGCACCTGTATGTGTCCACTGATAGGGACATCTCGGCACTTACGAGAGTAAGATTTGGTGCCTGCGCAGGTCTTCTTCCTTCGAAGACTGTTCGAGAAACGCGGAAAACGGGTATCTGTATAGGATATCAACTGTCGTCGTCGTTCTCTCGGGTTAACTCAACGTGCATAGAAGTGTTCATTCCCTGTTCCGTAAAGCAGTGTACTTTCGAGCAACTGGAAACAGTTCCAGCACTTGCCTGTGGCCAGTACTCAGAGTCGCTTTGTTACTGGCCCCTAACTTCAGCAGCTGAATGAGTCGAGCATGCAGGCTGACGTCATCTTAAGTTTCCTTGACGACCACTGCTCGTGTTATTGACGATCTCCGTTTTGTTAGCACTGCGCTGCACCCATGTTTTGAAAAGCCTTAGCCAAAAAGGTTGGAGCTTTCAACGAGACCAATTGCTTCTGATCCCGGCCGGCCAGCTGCGACGTGACAACGCCTATAACAATGTCGTCAATCTGGAACGCGTGCACCTTGGCATGTGCATGCGATATTGGTAGCTGTTGACTTCAATAAATATGCCATGCTGCAATTCACATCACATTTTGTGCGAGCGGTCCGACTATATATATGCTGGACACCTATGAGGCTAAGTGCTTACAGTAAGGTACTGAAGTACATGTGCGTATACACACTAAGATGCGAATGCAATTAAGCTGATCATCTCTCTAGAATTCATAATAGGTCAAGAATAATCCTTGCATGTGGTTACTATGACCCATTTGAGAAAGCATCTAGGCTTACAAACTGCACCGTCTAGGAAGCGCCACACCAACTGCTACAAGCATTGCACGCAAGATGACTACAAGGACGTATATGAACTTTGCAGCTGTAGACTACGTCATTGACGCCGGCCATCCCACGACTGTGGGGCTTTACAATCTGTCCACATGTGAGTCTACAGTTACCTTTGCGCGGTGCATAGAGCAGACATGAAGGATGAAACGCACCGACAGTGTTTCCTTGATGTGCTGATGTATGGATGCCATCAGATGCGATCGTTGCTCAGCACTCAACTCGGAGAACACTCCAAGACCGTCTTCTAAAAAGCATGATACTTACAACCTGCCGTGCTTCCTAAACTGCCAAACCGAAGTTTCTCTCCTAATGTACTGAAACACCAACTTAGCCCTTTGCTTCTCTCGGTGTGGCCCACTCGACCCGCAGGATGAGATTGTCATAACCGTAGCCGTCGAGCTTTCTGATTGCTTGTTGAGCATCCTCCCTGCAAGAACAACCAAATCCCAACAAGCTAAGCGCCTTGAAAGTAAGACCATCCGCTTTGCTTTCTCCGAAATGGACAGTTGTCTGTGATGTCCAGTGGGTATGTCTCTTGGGCAAACATGCCCTTGATTGAAAATCACTGGCGAGAGCACATAAGGAACATAGGCTTGCACTTGCGGTCTTGGCGAAAGAGTCTGGTCTAAAAGAGGTCACTGAATATTCCAAGGTGTTGATTCAGGTCTCCCCCTTGTTCGACCCAAGAGTTGTCCGTTTTTGCATCCTTTTCAATTCTCCCCAAGCAACCAGGAACTGCGACAAACCCTATTACCCGACATTGCAAGTTTGAAATGCTCAACAGGCAGACCGGCAGACTTCCCAGTCATCTGCCCCCTTTGCGCAAAACGCAACCGAGTCCAATATCTGTCATTCATCACGCCCAAAACAATTCTTCAACACTCAGTGCTCACCTGGTGACAAAGTTGATGAACGCGAACCCCCTGCTCTGCTTCGTCTCCCGGTCGAACGCCACGTAGATACGCGAGATGGGCCCAAATGGCCGGAACAGCTCCTGCAGGTCCTCCTCGCGCGTGTCCTCGCTCAGATTCGTCACCCGGATCGAGTTGTCGTCCCGCCCACGGCCACCGCGCCCGCCGCCCATCTCGCTGCCCTCCCGCGCCGATGCCCCCTCTCTCCGGCTCGGCGGCACGTACGTCCCTGGCTTCCCGGACGACGACCCGGGCCGCTCCCCGTCCTCGGGCGCCTTCGCGCCAAAGTCCCCGCTGTTCGCGGCAAGGTCCTTGTACGGGCACTGCGCGGACCAATGGTCGCCCTTCTTGCCGCACACGCGGCAGACCATGAGGCTCGTGTTGCCCTGCTGCGCCAGCTGGCCGAGCGGGTCGGCCGCCTTCTTCTCGGCCGCCTCCTTCTCGGCCTGCAGCCCGCGGCGCTCGATCCAGATCTCCTCGGTGGACACCATGGTGCGGTGCTCCTGCTCGCTGCCGAGGCCCTTGGCGTCGCCGAACTTGGCCCAGTTGCGGCGCTCCAGCACCTTCTTGCTGCGCTTCTCACGCTTGTTGCGCACCTTCTTCACCACCTTCACCTTCTGCCCCGCGTCATTGAAGCTGCTCGAGGACGAGGGCAGAGGCGGGCCATCAGCTCTCAGAATGGGACCTCTCCAGTGGACTACGCCGATGTTTCGCCAAAATTGCCATCCTTTGACGTAGATTGACAAGCAAGCGTGACTTGTAGGGCGAACAATTGAACACAAAACTGTATTTGGATGGGCTTTACTGCAAGGCATCTATGGCCACAGCAAATCGCTGCAGTCCAGCACCATTTGCTGCAACAGTCTTGATTCATGCTGGCACACTTGCAGACACAATTTGTTGCAAAACCAATGGGTAGTCCATTGATTGAGCTGCTTGAATACCTCAATCAGAGATTGACGTGTTCTGCACTGTGCCCCATCCCAGGCCACCCAATGAAACTATTCATCTCACAGGCCCTTGACGGGTCGCAAACACCCATGGCAGCTCAAGAGATGGCTTGACTAAGACGCCTCATAGCAGTTTGGTAATGGTGGGAGGGATGTACAATGATGTGTTCTTTCACGAGGATTCCACCGAAGAAGGTCACAATGCACAATTCAAGCCCCTAGAAACCAACCATTACCAAAAGCGTCCGAAACTGCTGAGGATTGTCACCACCCCAACATCCAGATCAAACTGGGCGCCTCAAAGCCCTTCATAAACAGGAAAAGCACCCACCTGTACTCGATAATTGTCTTGATCCCCTTCTCGTCAGGCCCCAGGACTTGAATTGGCGGCAAGGACTTGTCGTCCACTGCCTCAATCTCCTGGTCCGACTCCTCATCGTCAAAGTCGATGCTATCTCCCCATCTCACTTTGGCCGCCATGCTGACCGTGGCGCTTGGCGGTTCCTTGCAAACAACTTTTGTTTCCTCAAGATACGCTAACGTGCTAAGTCTCGCTTGAAAGCTGCCAACCGCTCTCTGGTGTTTCAGAAATTGTTTGTGGGCACCCTGCGACAAACGGATACAAAAGGACACCCGCGGCCCGCCCCTTCTGCTGGTCACGTTCTCGTTGCGTCACACCTTGCTGTTCTGAGGCACATGGCAAGAAGCAAGGAAGAGACTTTGCCCTGCCACTGGCCAGTGCCAGTGCAGCCCTGCAAAAGTGCTGTGCAGCAAAATTGATTAAACACCCGTGACCTGAGGCTGAGTCGCTACGCGATTCATGCACTGGCCGGGAATCGAACCCGGGTCTGTACCAATTTCACACGTCGCGCTGACGTCATTTGGCAAAGGGTCCTCAATTGAGGAGCAAGCGGGGGGGC